ACGTAGTGTTTTGTTGTCATTCTTTTGTTAGTAAGACCGTTATATCTTTAAGTTCATTCTTGTAGTGTTTCTTATAGGTTTTTGTGTCGTCGTATTTTTTTAACACAACATGTTTGGTAAAATTGACGAGTCAATAAATTAGCTGACCAGAATAAAAAGCAGGTCTATATATATTTACATTAATATCACGTTAAAATAATAGAATTTCCATTGGTTCAGAAAGACTTGTTCAGCCAAAAAGAAAGTATGCAAGTATTTGGCTTAACAACTCTTTGTGTTTCACTTTAAAATGTTTAAGGGTTTTGCCTAAATACTAAAAATTCTATTTTTTTCTAAATTAAAACATCATTTGTCATCATAATAAAAATAATTCAGCCAAGTAGTCACAAACAAAATGTTAAAAAAGTTAGTTAAGTTTGCATAGAAATTTGAAAATATCAAAATGAAATAAAACAAAGTTTTTTTATTTTTTTAATGAAACAATTGTCCTTCTTGTGTGTATGCCTGGATGTATACATGTAGAAGAATGGATAGATAATTGGTAATTTCGACTAGGTATTGCATAAAGAACCTTGAATTAAGAACTCTAATGATTGATTAGAAATCTAGCATTTTTAGCAGATTTATCCATTACAAAATTAGTAACTAAATCATTAGTGCCAACCCTTTTTTTATTGACGGAGTTTGAATCATTTGAAGAAAAAGAACAATACTGGAGAAATGACAAAACCTAAGAAACCTATGGTGTAAAGCTTGGAGAAATGTATTGACGTTGAGCTCAAAAAGGAAACAAAAAACATAACAAAAATTTATATGCAATAATTCCAATGTATACAGAGTCCTTATTAAGAAGCAAAATTGGCAAAGACCAAAGAGACAAGGAGAGCCACCACGGTGGCCGCTGCACTTGGGAGGGAAGCGGCGTGGCTCGGAGAAGGACCAGGGACTCCGGCTGAAGGAATAGTAGTAGTTGACGGAGAAGGTGAAGAGGTTGGTGCATCAGAGAGCGGCGTGGAGGAGGCAGGGCGAAGGACGTTGAGGTCGAGCTTCTGACCGGCGAGGCAGTGGCCGGGAACCCCGCAGAAGAAGAAGTGGTGACCGTAGTTGGTGAGTGTGATAGAGTCGTTACCGGTGGTGAATGTGGAGATTGGCTTTGAGGTGTTGCAGCTTCTGTACATCGGGTGCGTGACTCTCATCACGTTGTGGAATTGTGGGTTGTATTCAAACACTGTCAAATTAGTTTACATTTTACTTACATTTTCATCGAAGTATAAACAACATTTTGTGCTTACCATATTGAATAGAGAAAGCATATTGTCTATGTGTTGTATTATGTTTTACTATATATATTAACGTGTGTGGTTTTTTTTTTTCTTTCGCATATCAATTCAGCTGGACCTGTCTAAATTTCGTCTTAAAATATTTGAATGCTTTGTATAAATTATTTATTAAATGTACATTATTTGAGCGCTAAGAAAACCTTTTAAAAAAAAAACTTAAGAGATTCAATTTATTTACATATTTAAAAATAGAGAAATTTCAAAAAAATGTCATTTTTCAAATGTCATTTTACAAAAATGCCACATTTTTAAAATATTTACAAAAATGTCACTTTTTCAAAATTATTTTTCTTTATATTATTTATATTTGGGTTAGTTATGTTCTATTAGAATTTAGTTTTGAGTGTTTAGGGAGTTTTAGGTGTCAAAATATGTTTTAGGGTTTAGAATTTTAAGATATATGCTCTATAAATCTATAATTAGTGGTATTTTTGTAAATGGACACCCCTAAGTGACATTCTTGCAAATGTGCACACAAAAAGTGGCATTTTTGTAATTGCCCCATAA